TGAATGCAACACACAAAAAATGGAGTGGTACTTTCAAAGTATTGAGGAACTTAGAACCCAGAATTTTAAGTGTAGCTAAAATGAATTCAAATATATAGCCATGATAAAAATATTCTTAGACATACAAGGTCTTAGAAAGTTTGCCACCCAGACACTATATAGTTTATATAACAAGAAAGAGAAACCCAAGAGATACTGCAAGAGATATGTGAAATAAAAGTAAACAGAAATAAAAGTAAAAACGTTTAGTCTTTAATCTAAAAAGGTAAAAGAAAATGTAGCTCCAAGTCTAGGAATCAACATGATGGGAGTTTGGGGACATGCAAGGTGTGTGAAACAGGATGGAAATTCTTACTGGAGGGAAATAGAGCTGTCAATCCAAAACAATTGTAAGAAAGGGATAAAAACTGGGCCAAACTCTATAGGATAGTAGAAAACAGGGTCTGAATGTATCAATGACTGAAATGAATATAAATGACTGAATGCAAAGGCAAAGGCTGACAAAGTGCATTTAAAAAAAAATTACCAAAACAATCAACAGTAACTTTAAACACGTGTGCATATTTTAACCCTCAAATATGTATGAAGCAAACATTTATAAACCTGCAGAAACTGGAAAACTCATTCTCATGGAGGGAGGTTTCAACACGTCTTTCTGAGTTACTCATCAAACTAAAAAAAAAAAAAATCGTGTATCTACAGCTGCCAATTTATGAGAAACAAGGGAGCAGAGGCACAAACTAAATAACATCACAGGAACACAACAGCAAAACCCAGAATGTGGGAAACTCCACGGGACCAAAAAATCTGGTGTCTTCAATTGACTGCAAAAACAAATGTAAAAAGGAACCAACTATTTAAGAGACTTGAGACATACCAATCGAATGCAATGTGTGTATTACTAACAAACTGAAAAAAAAAAAAATGAGCCAATGTGAGAGATTTGAATGGTGACTGGATATTGGATATTAAAAACTATTGTTAATCTTTTTTAATGTGATAGCAGAATTGTGATTATATATTTTTTAAAAGACTTTTTATTTTCTAAGAGTTTTAGGTTTACAGAAAAAATTGTGAAGATAGGAGTTCTCATACACCTCATACCTAGTTTCCCCTTTTATTAACATCTTACGTTAGCATGATATATCTGTCACAATTAATGAACCAGCATTGATACATGTTAGCTAAACTACATACTTTATTCCCTTAGTCTTTACCTAATGTCCTTTTTCTGTTCCGGGATGCCATCCAGGACACCACATTACATTTAGTCATCATGTCTCCTTAGGCTTCTCTACACTGTGACAGTTTCTCAGACTTCCCTTGTCTGATGAACTTGAAAGTAGTAAGGTATTTTGTATAGCCCCTCCAGCTAGGATTTGTCTGGTGTTTTTCCCATGATTAAACTGGGGTTGTAGGTTTCGGGAAAGACCAAAGAGGGGCAGTGCCATCCCATTTTGCGGCACATCCTACCACATGACAGCACTGTTGATGCTGACCATGATCACCTGGCTGAGGTAGTTTGTCAGGTTTCTCCCCTGTAAACTTACTCTTTTATCCCATTCTCTATACTGTACTCTTAAGTCACTGTGTACAGCCCACATTTAAGGGGTAGGGAGTTATGCCCACCTTAAAGGAGGAGAATTATGTAAATTATAATTTTTGTGCATGGGAGATTTGTATACTCTCCATTTATTCATTGTTTATGCATATCAGCATGAAGTCACAGGTATTTTATGCTTTGGGTTATAACACTACATTATCATGTTGCTCAAATTGTTCCAGGTTTGACCATTGGGAGCTTTCAGTTGGCTCCTATGTCCTTTAACATACCCCCAATGTGTGAGCAGCTGTTGGTTTTTTTTTTTTTTTTTTTTTTTTTTTTAAGCACTTCCTTACCTTCTGGCACTTTAAGGGGCTCCAGCATCTTGTCTTGTATATTTCCTTCCCCAGTCCTGGAGTAAGCTATTTCTCTTAGGATACCTGGATCCTTTTATTGGAGAATGTATTAGAAATCAAGATCTTGGCTCTAGGTGTGATGGGATATCATTGCTTCCAGGCCCTCTCAGCTGGGAGATGTGGTTATGCACTTCAAAGACTAGAAATACTCCTTTAAAAAAGGTATGTTTTTTAAAGTTACTGTTAGATTAACAGAATGAAATATTTTCAGATGAAGTACCCAGAATTTGCTTCAAAATTACCAGTGTTGAGGAGTGGGAAGTGGGGAAATAGTATTGACAAAACCAGAGTGGTCATGGGTTACTTATTACAGTCGGATGACAGGTACGTAATTTGACTATTTTCATTGTATGTCTATTCCAAAATTCCCATGGTAGAGAACTTCTAGAAATTTAGACTACTACTCATAACTATACGCCAACAATTTTGAAAACCTAGACAAAATGGTCAAATTTCTGGGAGCAGGGAGGGGGAGATACTTTGTTAGAACTTACTTAGAAGGAAATAAAAATCTATATAAAAAATGGAAGCAGTGGTTACAAATATTCCTATATTCATTGGAATTTCTGATCTACTAATGGCAGAGTAGACTGCATTGGACTGGCCCTCCTGCATATAATAATTATGAACTCTGGACAAAAGTATTCAAAAGTCTCTTTGAAGGCACTGAGAGCAACCAAGCTGGTAGAAACCAGAGGGAAATAACTCTCAAACAGGAAAAGGTGGATATGTCAATTCTCCATAAATTGATCTACATATTCAATGCAGTTCCAACCAAAATCCCAATAGAACTTTTGTAGAAATGGATTAGCTGAATCAAAAATTTACATGGAAATGCCAAGGACCTGGAACCACCAAAACAATCTTTAAAAAGAACAAAGTTGAAGAACTCACACTACCTGATTTCAAAATTTACTACTATAAAGCTACAAGAATCAAGACAGTGTGGTACTGGCATCAGACAAATATATCAATGGAACAGAACAAGGTCCAGAAACAGACCCACACATTATAAGGTCAAGCGAGGGAACAAGGCAACCCACAGGGGGAGTTTTTTCAAGAAATGAAACTGCAACAACTGGATAAATATACAGGAAGAAAATGAACTTGACCCACACATCACACTAAGAGTGAAGCAGATAACCAACCTAACTGTAAAAGTGAAAACTATAAAATGTCTAGGAAAACATGAGAAAATCTTCATAACCTTTGGGTAGGTAGGCAAAAATTGCTAGTTTTTAGGAATACACAAACATGTAAAGATGAACATGGATTCAGAATGAGGTTATCTTGGAGCAGACCCCAAGATGGGAAGGTGTGGGGAAGTTGGGGTTACCAAATGGTTAGATGTTACCGTCCATTCTAGCTTTTGTTTTTGGAGATGGCTTTTGTTTTTAAGTATGTAAAAAGATGTTCCTTTTACATACTTAAAACATATGCATAGATCAGTTTAAGAATTAAGGAATGTGACTATTCCAATGCCACATGCTCAAGGTCCAAAACAGTATATGTCTTTTCAATCCTTTTTGAATTTTTTATTAACTAAGCATGCTTACACATTCTTAAGAATGGTACTACAAAGCATCGCAATTAGCTATAAATACTGTTGTCCAAATTTTCAAGTTAATCTAGTCTCTAATCCCTATTTTTACATTTGCAGAAAAGAAGACTCTGTGAGAGCTGAAATGTCACCATTACAACCCAATACAGAGGCACACTATGTATGGTTGGTGAAATCTCACGTGTAAGTTTAGTGAGACCATATAGTGTTAAATAGAGCAAAATTGTTCCACTTATTATACCCTTAATGTTTAACCTTTGGTCAAGCTAAAGAACAATCAATAATTTGGGAGAGACAGAATGCATACGTAACAATTTATAAGCCAAAATCTCCATTAGTTGTTTGTTGTTACGTAAGAAATTACCCCCAAATTTTGTGGCTTACAAGAATATGTATCCCTCTGTATCTTTGGAATTCATGACAAGCTCCTTTGGGCAGTTTTGGCTCAGGTCTCTCAAGGGATTGAAGCCAGGTGTTGCCTGGAACTGGAGCTGGAGGACTCACTTCCAAGCTGGTTCACTCATGTGGCTGGCAGGTAACGTAAACAACATGGTTTCTCTCCTGCAGAGGGCTGTTTAAATGCCTTACAACATGGCCTTGGCTTACACTGGTGCAAACAACCCAAGAAACTAAGGCTGCAGTTGCAATGTCTAAGGACCTAGCCTCAGATGTCACACATTTTTCCTGTAGTGTTTTACTGATCACACAAGTCAGTTTTGTTTCAGTGTGGAAGGGTAGTATGCAAGGGTTGGGAGATGAGCCAATATACAGATGACACGGAAGGATGATCTTTAAAAAAACTTCAGAAATTTTTATCTAGGGAGGGGGCAGGTTAAAGACATGGGAAGAGGGTAGGACTCATCTGTTGAGATGAACAATGCAAAGCTTTTAGCTTACCACAAGTGTCATACATAAGAACAGTCAGGACCATGCGAACAGGGCTCAGAAATGCACAGTTATGTCCTGTCTGATCCAGTGAGGCACTGATCTCCCACTGTACCCACTTCCAGTGGTAACCGAGGCCATTTCTGGGCACCAAACATTGATTATATTTTCTGTGCAGATCCAGGGAGACCTAGGACTGCTGAAATTATGGGAAACATTTCACTTAACACAGAGGAAAGTATGCATTAGTGTTATCTATGGGGGGGTCAACAAGATGTAAACCCCCTCTAAGGGGCCAGTTCATGGATGATAATCTGCTATTTGTTAAGAAAAAGGACAACCAAGCTTTTCAGATTTGTGATTAAAAGAAACTCTGCATGAGAAGAATCCTCTACGAGGAAACTTGAGCTCTAGGATGCTTGTGCCATCTACACTGGCTGCTTGGTTTCTTGCGCTTACTTGTGGATTTTTGTGTTTCACACAGGTAATGCTGTGGGGTGCTCTTGTACCCCTCTCACACTAACATTCACATATCATGTGTCAGTCTAAAGAGCCTGTATCTTCAAGGCAAAACACAACCGCCAAACACTATGGATCCAATTACCAAGACGTAATGTCTTTATTTTTTTAAGTTTCTAAATTTCACACATGATTGTTCACTTACATACAAGCAAACCATAAAATAATGTGTGATAAAATCAGTGGTGGAACAGCCGAAGGTTTGTATGGGCGAGTATTATTCCCAGCTCATCGCAAGCCTCAATCACAACTTCGTCTGCAGCAGAGCCTGAGGGAGCAGCAATGTACGCCACGCCACTCTGAAGGAAAAATAGATATTGATTTTTAGGACACAACTTTATGTAAAAACCTGCAAAAATCAGAATCCCCCTCTAATAAAAGCATAAGCCAACAATGATTTGCTCAGTCAAAAAGGCAAAATAACAAAATTTGGGTTATCCATGCATCAAATGAAGAGGTCAAATAATCTTCTAAATATTACTGATCTGTATCATATTGCCACAGCTTTGATATACATTATCTCAAAGAACCTTACAAAGCAGAAGCAGGATTTTTGAATGGTTTCTACATGACACTCCATCCTATGCGAATACCCACCTATGGAGTATACTAACATTTATAAAGCAAATGTATTTCACAGGGCCTAGCTTTCAAAGCCCTGTAGTTTCAGGTTTAGCCTAACTTTTAAAAATTACACATAGAAATGTTAAGCTTGCAAGACAGGAAACTTTCCCCAGGGTAAAGTCTCTGTTGTAGATAAAGAATTGTAACACAGCAAAGTTGTTGGCTCAAGGACAGATGCCCTTGGAGCAGGTTAACCTAAAGTTACTTGATTGTTATGTAAAAATACTAAGGAAATTGCTGTAGGAAAAGACAGTATTTGCTAAGAACAAGCTTTTGTTGGTGGATCGAATTAATGTTTTGCAAATTGCATTATGGAATGTCACCTTGTTATTTCACTGATGCTACCAGCTTCTATTATTAAACTATATTTAGCCATAACTCCACCTATATTCCTTTTCTGTAACCTCCTGCCCTGGAAAATAAATACTGGGAGAAGACCCCAGTCTGGTGTTATTTTTCCAAGGAGGAATGCCTCTCTCACTTGAGGGTTCCTGGAAAATTAACCCCTTCAGAGCTTCTCACTGCTCAGAAAAAATGGGCTTTGAGTAATCCTTTGCGTCTCTGTCACCCCAAGTGAGGCAAAGTGACACCCACCAATTCCATACTTACCCTTTTGGCCCTGTCTACATTATCCCTGAAAGGGAAGAAGGCATCGGAGCTGACAGAAACTTCACTTAGCCTGTCAATCCATTCCTTCTTCTCTGCCTCAGTTAGTAGTTCAGGGACTTCCTCAAACAGAGCCTTCCACTTTATCAAATCTTCACCCTAAGGAGGTAGTGGTGGAGGAGGGAGGTTAGGCTAGCACCATATTTAGTTCTACCTGATGCAATCACAATTAGGTCTTAATTGTAAATAATGACTCTTAGTTACATCCAATTTCATATTTCTAGAATCTCTGATGCTTTTTAAAATATTCTCATTATGGAAGAAAAGTGATTCTAAGTTTACCAAATAGAGACTATATCATTTTACTTTCTAAATTATTTTATTCCAAATATAATTAGTTCTTGAATCTCTAAGTTAAATCTACTATTTATATCCCTGTAACAGAACAAGAAAATAGAAAACCGTATTCCACAGGATTTTCAAAGGGATCCTCCATTCCCAACTTAGGCACCAGATGACAATGGGCATTCTAGAAATTTACGCAATTTGTCTCGAATACAAAAAAAGTCAGTTGTAGACAAATCAAAATATGATTTATAGTATTTGCTACGGTGTGAATGTGTCCCCTCTAAAATTTATGTTGAAACTTACTCCCCAATGACACAGTATTAAGAGATGGGGCCTTTAGGAGGTGTTTTGCCTCATGAATGGATTGGTGACTTGTATTTCGCCCATTCTGTCCCTACGCCCTAGGAGGACATAGCATTCGTGCCCTTGAGAGGATGCAGCAACAAGGCACTGTTTCAAAGGACAGATTAGCCCTCACCAGACATCAAACCTGCCAGAATTTTGGACTTCCCAGCCTCCAGAACTGCGGGAAATAAATTTCTATTGTTTATATATTTCCCAGCCTGTGGTATTCTGTTATGGCAGCACAAACGGCCTGAGATGGGTATTCATACTAAAAAAGGTGCTTCCATTTTGGGTGCTGTTTTGGCTTTAACCTACTTTTATTCTTGTTCACATATAAAGACTCTTCCTGAACTGTTAGCAGGGGTTTGTTGGGTAATATCAAACAGAAAAATCCAAGTATTAAAGTAAAAAAGAAAAGATGCTTCAAGTACATCACTGTGCGGCCCACTCTCTTATGACACTTATGTTGTTCCTGAATGGACAGCCCTGGGTGGTCAATTCGTAAAAGACCACTCACTTTCTGATCACCAGACCCCTCTGTTTTCCATCCAGTTCTCATTAGCACTTGCTATATCCAGAAACTGTCTTTCAGCAAGCTACTGATTCTTGCAATTTTAATGCTCCCACATATCTTATTCAAAACGGAAGACGTTAGAGAACATGAAATGTAACAGAATATGTATCAAGTTGTTAATGGTCCTGCAGAAAATATGGTGAAAGAAGAGAGGCACTGGAGACCTGCTATCAGGTAATTTGTACAGTAGTGTAGAATACACACCTATCATGCCATGAGCATCATGCCTGACACTGTGAGATGCCTCAGAATAGGAGAAAACCAGTCTTTGTCATCAAAAACTTATCCTCAACAGGGGAAGTACAAGTACACAAAACTAAACATGGTTATACCTTAAAAAGACAGAGAAGGTTTGTGCTTTCAGAAAGGGATAAAAAACAATTCAGAAATACAGAATTCCAAGAAAAATAGCTCTTTCTCTCTGCAGTGATTAAGTTCAAGTCTGTTGTACATAAAAGGGTGAAAATATAAACACAGCCCGCCCAGAACGCACGCAAGCCTTTTACCTCGCCGATGGTTCCAGTCACATACTGATCGATGGCATTGGAGATTTCTGCTCTCTTCACTCCTGTTTTAAACTTCATCGAAAGCACTTGTGGATGGTGTCTGAGCCACCAGTAGTTTGCCTTGTCTCCTGCAAGTCGTGTGCAGTGTATCCTAGACTGCTGTCCTGCTCCAATGCCGATAACCTGACGAATGTGGACATTAAAATGAATCGCTCTTCCAATGACACATTCTTCTTAAAAAGCCAAGGATTAAAGTGCACAGTCCCCAAATCTATCTATTAACTTTGTAAAATCTGTCTATTAAATGGCCTAATCACCTTCCAAAGGCCCCATCTCCTAATACTGTTTCACTGGGGAGTAAGAGGTTTATAAACTACTACTTATACCTTTTACCTCTCTTCAGTCATATTTGACATATGACTTTCTGGAAGTTTCTAGAATGCAAAATAATATTGTTGATGACTTGGGGGTAGGGGAAGAGCATGAAGACAACTACGGTTATTTAAAAGTCTGTGTTTGCACCAGTTTGTAACTTACAGTTAAAATACCAGATCACAGAAATTGACATAATAAGGATCTGACAAGGGTATCCTATAAAGTATTCTAGAACATTTATAGGAACCCTTGTATCCTATAAAAATTCTACCAGATACAAATCTTCCTTCCTTCCTCTACTTCAATGGGTTGAATTCTAAGCACCAATGACTTTAACGCACAGGTATGTCTTCTGGTTTTAGTTTCTGTAATGAACACCTCCTCAGTGGTCTGCCCAATGGTCCATCTCTTTTTGGGCACTGCTGCTGGCAACTCTGCCAGTTACAAAAGGATAAAACAGACCATGAACAGACGTGCAGCATGCTCCTCCTGGACATCAATAGTGAAGTATCTGTTCTACATGGCCTTACTGGGACTTACTAGAACCTAAGCCCAAGGAGACCAGACCCACAATCTCCCAGGACTTTGTTACTAGAGCCTGGCAATCTTAATAGATGGTGATCACTAAAATTTGGAAAGGGTCTTCTGGGTCACATGCTAAATAATACACCCCATCCCCTTCCAATTATGGGCCAAAAAATTTAACAAATGCCAAGAGATGAGTTCAAGACGCTGTGAGAAGAGCTCCTAATGCTGCTGAGGCTGTAGCAAAACCAAGTTCACCCCAGAGTCAGGAAAGACCTTCACAATGAACCAGCTCAATCTTGCACGCTGTGGTTCGGTACACTAGGAAAGAAGTTAACCAGCTTATTTAACATCACATAGTAAGAAATGTTCAATATCTTGACTGCCGCAGTGGTCATACAATGGGCAGTATTCATACAACTTGTGAATACTGGCCATGCTATATATTTTAAAAGGGTGAATTTTACTGTATACAAATTATGCCTCAATAAACCTGATTATAAAAGGTCAAGTTAACTCCTAGTCTAGCAGTCTTTCTACTCAACAGATTCTTGACAAGACGACAAAAGAAATCTATGTGAAAATACCCTGCAAGCTGCAAAAATATAGGCTTTTAGGTAGCAGAACTATTTCTTAAATCCTCTTCACTGGAAATACTACCAACTGGGGGAAGGGAGAGTGAATAAACCACTTTTGTGACAGCTATTAGAGTCCCACTAATCCAAACTGTGCCAACTCATTCTAAGCAAGAGGCAATCTAATTTTAGTCCTTGGTTCCATAGCCTCTTTCTAATCATCATTAGTTTTAATAGTCCACCAAGGGGCTGAGTAAATACTGACAAACCCAGAAGAGAAAAACTTGGCAAATGTTCCCTTTCAAGCTGTCCAAATACCCGAGGCAGATGGATTTTTGAATATCATTTTGTAAAACAACAGTCCCCCTGAGCTGAGTGTGACAGCCTGGTTACCTGCCCATTCTTGGCATAGCACACTGAGTTAGACTGAGTATACTTGACAGCAATGGTGGCCACAATGAGGTCTCGGAGGGCAGATTCCGGCAACTGAAACAAACACAGAATGGTAAATCTCATCAGGCTTTTAAAACTTCATTTAACTTTAAGCTTCTTACATGCTATTTAATGCAGCAGACCTATAATGTAATTATATCTCTTGATGATGGAGTCAAGTTAACTGTTTATGCTACATACCACCCTGTTTTACTGAAAGGGTCAAATATTTAACATATTTGTGGTGGAACTTAAAATATTTCTAATGCATCATAGACTCAAATTAATGCCATTTTGCAACAACTTGGGGTTAAACCCATGTATATTACCCAGATATGAAATACCATACCCACTGCAAAACTGCCAAATAGTATTTTCTCGACCAGGGTACCTTTAAATATCTGGACACCGGATAAAATTTATGTTCAGAAACAACAACGAGAATAATTCTCATGGACATTACAAACCACTGCGATGCACACACACAGCTAAGATTGTACAGGAAAAATCAAATTAGGATCATTTGCTCCTTTGTTTAGAACATTCTAAGCAGAAACTACTCAAAAATGCATTGTGAACTACTAGTCCAAATAGAACAACAAATACAATAGCCAAAAATGTCATTATCTTTAATATAAAGAGTGGATACAAACTGAAAAGAAGGATAATTATCCCTATCAGTCTGTTAAGTGGACAAAGGATATTAGCTGCAGCTAACTGATAAATTAGCTAACTGAAAAATTAATACATTTAACCTCATCAAAATTAAAAACTTCTACTCTGTGAAAGACACCTTGTTAAGGGAAGAAAAGATAAGCTACAGACTGGGAGAAAATATCTGCAAACCACATGCTCCCAACAAAGAACTAGCACCTAAAACACGGTGAGAAACTCTCAAAACTCAGGCACAAAATCCCAAACGATTAATTAGAAGATGGGCAAAAGATAAGAAGAGACATTTTACCAAAAGGATATACAGATGGCAAATAAGCACAAGAAAAAATGTTCAACATCACGGGCCATGAAAGAACGCAAATTAAATTAGAATCAGTGAGCTGTTGCTACACGATGCTACATACCTATCAGAATGTCTTCTAAAGAAAAAAAAGAGACACCACCAAAAGTGAGTAAAGATGCAGAAAAACTGAATTACTCAACTACTGGTGGTGGGGATGTAAAAGGTACAGCCACTCTGCGAAACAGTTTGGCAGTTTCCTAAAAAACTAAAAATAAGACTACCATACCACAAAGCATCAACAGTCCTGGGCATTTACCACAGAGAAATGAAAACACAAAAACCTGCACAAATGCACAATGAATGAAAATTACAAAAAGGAAGAAGAGATTAGTGGCTGCCCAAGGTTAAGGAGGGGGTGGAGGCAGCAGCAAAGTGACACTGGAAACCACTGCCATAATAACCCCCACAAATGCCTACATGTTTCCTTACTTCAAGGCACCATTAATTTTCAAAGATGAAAATGGAAGGAAATCCATTAAATCAGCAAACACAGATCACACCTTAATCAACATATGATTGTTAACACACAGAACTCTCCCGTTAAAGATTTTGAAGCTTATTTTCAGCAGCTCTACTAAAAGCCTCACGATTCAGGCTTCGGAACAAGCTGCAGCTCCTTACTCAGCTTCCAATTCTAAAGTGAATGGCCTGTGTTAAAGATTTTGAAGCTTATTTTCAGCAGCTCTACTTAAAGCCTCACGAGTCAGGCTTCGGAACAAGCTGCAGCTCCTTACTCAGCTTCCAATTCTAAAGTGAATGGCCTGTTAAGAGACCAATCCCCTTTCAGGAACCAACAAAAAGCTGGACACAGAGCTAATAAGATAGCCAGTGCTGATAGGTAAAGATCCCAGAGATAAAGGAAGTAGGAAAAATGAGCCTGGTAAGCTAAGCTTTTCCCTCAAGGCATTTTCTAAGCCACATGCAATAAACTAAGAGGCAAATAAGCTGAGCGCAGCCACTGGCAGTCTTACAGGACTCAGGGACAAAGATGGAATTCAGTGAACACTGGGGAAGAGGCATACTAGGAGACACCCAGGGCTTCAGCAGAGTCAGGGGGAAGCACAAAGAAGACTGAAGCCCAAATTCAAGTCAGCTCAGTCCTTGACAGGACGAAGACGATCTGCTCCACTTTATCTGCCTACCAGATACATGAGTTGACTCTCTCTGGAGGAAAAATAACTGTCCAGATCCTCGAAATCTCTAGGTTTTGATACCCAATGCCCAGCATTCAATCAAAAATACCTGGCAGAAGCTACAACCAGCAGACAGACCAGAAAACAATGGAGTGACACCTTCAACATACTGAAAAAAAAGTACAGCCAACTTTAGAACCAGAAAAAATATCCTTCAAAAATGAAGGCCTAATTAAGATATTTCAGAAAACAAATACCAGCTCATGCATTTCCTTATAGCGCAATCTTAGGCAAATCTCTTAACTGTTCCCTCTGCCACAATTTTGTGATCTTTATGACAGAGATGACAGTCACCCCCACAGTGTGCTCTGGGTATTAAAATCACCATTATCCTAGGAATGTGCCCCTCCTATAAGAAAGAGCACAAGGCAAAAACTTGTCTCAACACAAAAACATTGATCATGGAAATGGAACAACTGAAAATGGAAACAACCTAAACATCCATCATAGTACATCTACACATGGGTTTGCCACATGGCCTCTCAGATGAAGACGTGGGTCCACAGTTACTGACACAGAAACACATCTGTAGCCTAGTGCATGAAAAAAAGGCAAGTTACAGAAAAGAACTATAGAAGACATGATCCCATTTATGTATAATTTAGGATGCATCTCTATGTATGTACATATGCCCAGAAGCTTCTCATATTCATTTTTAATTCATTTTTTAAGCTCTCAGGCTTGACAACTCAAAGACGAGCTGGCCGTTTGCACTTTAAACAGTTCTAAATATGGGCCTTAATAAATGTTTTTGCTTATAAATATGGACAAGAGACCTACGAAAGTTACTAGCATTCAGTTCAGATTTTTTAATACTTACATCTTTATTCTTGGTAACAACATTGCTAAATAATGACCTGTCGATGACACCGTTATTTCTCTTCTGGCTTAAACGAAGACCGAAGAGAGTTCGAACTTCATTTTCATCTGGTTTGTAAGACTGGTCCATCTAAAATACAAATGTTCAAGTTATATATTCACATCCCTCAATTTTTAAATTTAACTTATGATTTCATTATAAGTACAGTTATATGTATTTTTTCTAATTTAAACATGAGAGAGGTCATTTCAGTGTGGGTATATAACACAATCGCCAGGCACCAATACTTTGCTCCAAAACTTTTTATAGGTTTTACAACCCTATAGCATTTTATAGGTTTACAACTTATACATAAAATATTAAAACCAGTGATTCCAGTGAACATATTTTGGTTACATTAACTAAATTATATGCTATATAGTTATTTTAGAAGGTCAGCAGATAAAACAGATTTGCTAATAAACAGACTGTGGCACAAAAGTTAAATTCTAATTTTCCTTTCTAAAAACCTACTACAAAATACCTAACTTTTGAATTAAAAGCTAAAAGGAAAAAAACAGGATTTGTAGTCCGTCTCTTTGGTATTTGGAAAGGATCATATGTCACTCGCTGCTATCTTTCGTCCCCAAATTTTGAACTAAAAAGATATTAAGACAGGATTAATCTGCAGTATGAACATTCTTTCCCTATGTATTTTTATAAACCTGACAATATTTTTTCATTTACCTATTGGGTAATCTTTGACTCAAAAAGTACTGATATCTGTAACTTATAAGCAAGCCCCCATAAATATTAGTTTTGCTTAATCTACATTTCCTTGAATCCTAAAATGTTCCTCTGTATTCTGTATTATAAAATTTCTAAAATCAGTATGACTGCCCACTAAGTGATGTCAAAAAAAACTTGTCCCTACCCAGGTAGAAAAATAAGTTGTTTCATTGCTGTAATCATGCATCCAAGTGCAAACTAAACCAAATTCTGAAATAAAGAAGATAAGCTCAGGTTTTGGAGAACATTTTCCATGATGCTACATGCAATGGCTAATGGCCATAAGTACTTAATACTCTTAAAAACATCAAAAAATACTTGCATAAGAAACTGAAGAATACAATGACAGCTAACTACATGGTTAAACTTGTTGTCAAGTGGCCTTCAACAGGAAAAAAGTATGTATATTTAATGCGGTATCTTCTTTCCTTGAAAAGCTATGGTGGACTTTAAAATTATTGATACCTTAATGATCAACGATATATACTTGACTTTATATGGAGTTGGGATTACACAGATGTTCTGCTATCAATAAATACTTCGTGAAAAACAGCATTATGAATTTTTACTTTCAATTCAAATAACTCTTTGCTTTATCAATGAGTCATCGATCTTAGATGATGGGCTGGTTTCCCTATCACAGAAGAGCTCTCAAAAATCAGTAAGGAAAAATCTTAACGACCTAGTAAAATAACAAAGAATACGGATGGACATTTCATAAAAAAGAGGTAAAAATACCATTAGTGTGAAAAGATATTCACCCCGTACATAATGAGAAATTAAAACTGCGATAAGACGGTATTTTCATCTATCTAACTACAAAGATGAAAAAGTTTAAGAACACAATGCTGGCAAGGTACTGGGAGACAGGCACCCTTACACATTTCCACTGAAACATGGAATTTGTCACACAACCTCTAAGAGGAGCAGTATCTATCAAAACTACCAATACACACAGTCTGTGACCCAGTCCTAATTTTAGTTTAAGAACACAATGCTGGCAAGGTACTGGGAGACAGGCACCCTTACACATTTCCACTGAAACATGGAATTTGTCACACAACCCCTAAGAGGAGCAGTATCTATCAAAACTACCAATACACACAGTCTGTGACCCAGTCCTAATTTCACTCCTAGGAATTTCCTAGGTGATTCACTGCAGGGGTGTGCAGTAGTTAAAGATCAGTGACCGGCTAGAGAAGTTAAGATACACATGGCAAATAAGCACATATTTGAATACAAGCAAATATTTGCTTTCAGGAGAGGTAAGTGAGAAATTAAAAATATTAGTTACTTCTAAAAATAGTAACCTTAGCAGAAGGGAAGGTTGGGAGACCTTTCATTTCATAACATTTAATACCTTTTGAATAGGTAGCCGTGTAAATCTATGTATTTTTTTTAATTAAAAAAATTAAAATTAAAGGTAAGAAAGTCATCCTCCCCTTTCTTTCAAAAATTAATATTCTTCTAAAAAATGCAGGATTAAGGATTAAGAAGCTGCAGTAAAGAGAGATAAATTAGAAGGGTGTCGGCATAAAGGCAAGATTAAACCTGGGGGAAAAAGACACAAAACAGAAGAGCAATTACTGTTTCAAACATGAATTGCACTAACCTGAAGGACACAGTAGTTTCCATTTTTCTTTTTAGAAAGTATTTTCAAGGCTTCTTCTTCATAACCAGGGGCAATAATACCATCAGACACCTGTAAATGTATTAAATATTAATTTCTATTTTTAAAAAGTCAGAGAAAACCTCTAAAGAATCTAGCAACAATTATCTGTTTTAAAGAATGCAGCAGCATTTTCTGGCTTCTACCTTCAACAGATAAAGCCAATACAATGCTTAGAAAAGACAGCTCTGTGTTAGAATATAGCTTTCGACAGCTGACCCTATCTTACTTGCTATCCTTTCAAAGTTTCTATTTGTTTCAGTTGTAACTAAGAGTATATGAATGATTCATTCCACTACACATACATCGAGAAGAATAATCATGTCCTACTATTTTCTTCACCAGGTGGTTGTGTGCACTATCAAGAACATGTTCCAGTCCTGGCTCTGCCAGTACCAGGTTAAACGACCCCCAGCAAGGCAAATTCCTCAACAGCATGACCAATTTAAGGAGATCGGATTACATCAGAGATGTACATCTTAAAACGAAAGACACAAATGTCATAGCCTTGCTATCCCATATAACATAGGGATGTCAGGGGTCACAGAAAGAATCCCTAAAGCAACTAAATATTGTCAGGCCATGTGCCCCTTCGTCTCTACCTATTTTTTCCCCTCCAAGCTCTTTGAGCTACCTTTTTTCTTTTCTTTCTGTCTCCCCACCACCAATGGGGAGACCCCCCCCTGTCTTTACTGTTATTTTGGTATTCAACCAATGGGGGTTAGTTTATTGAAGGAGTTTGTATTTTTTCCATTATGCAGTCTCTTTCACTGCAGACCTATGGAGGTTTACAGAAAGATTCATCATCACATCACCATCCAAGAAGGCAACCTCTGCTCTTTGGAAACAATAACTTTGGCATTAAGATAACAACTGCTAGAGAATTTAAGAAAATTAAGTATATAAACAAAACCTCTATCAAAACAGCCAAATATCCATTAAAATAATCATTCACTAAATCTCAAAATTAACAATTCAAAGACTCATGTTCTACATAAAATAGGAACATTCTAAATGATAAACTTAACTAATTTATAGATGTTGCAAATATAAATATTATAAGTTACGGTTTCAATGACCATTATGAACAAATAAAGCTTTACTTAATTATGCATGGATCAAGATACATGAATGTCCACTAACTTCTCTGGAGATAATTTTCGCAGTTGGTACATCACAAACATCAGATAATGCAACAAAATCACCAAATGAAGACATCCTATCAGCCCCTGTAAACAAAAATTAAAATGAGACATTTACCATGCATAGAAAAAGATAATGCTTTAAAAATCCCTATGTGATCATATAAAATCCATTTCCCTAAAACTAACCTTACAGTTTACATAAGATTTAAGTAACAAATCAACAGGTCATTTTTAACTGAAGTAATCAAGTAAGAAAGTATTCTTTAATTTTACCCTCTAGAGTAGCATTCGGCAAACTTTTTCTGTGAAGGGCCAGATAGTAAATATTTTTTAAGCTTTGTAGCCACATGGTCTCTATTCCAACTATTCAACTCTGTAGCTACAGTTCAAAATGAGCAACTGACAATACATAAGCTTTATTTACAAAAAAACGTGGCAAGCTGGATTCAGACCAAGGGCCACAGTTTTGCTCACCCTGGCAGTAGATGGTAAACTATGATATTAGGTTTCTCAATGACCTTCCATAAATATTACAGTAATACCCACAGGTTATTAAATATAAGAATTAGTTGGTTCTGAAATACATAAAATATAACACAGCTCTCACCAAATTTAATATAGTTAGAATAACCACACATTTTAGTCATACATTAAATACAAATGCACTCAATAGCCTAATTTGAAATTACCTGTACCAAATTCCAATTGTTTCCATTTATTACATTAAAATACTAATATATACTTTAATAAATTTATTCTGAAGCACTCATACAATCATTCTCAAGTATTAATAAAAACAAATTAAAGATAATTTAAAATCTTATAATGAAACAAAGGATACTATTTTATTCTATACCCTACTAGGCTGACCTCTTGCTCTTGCATATGCAGTTGATACGGGTGTAAGGGTTTTAAAGAGATCATAGACCATGCAGACTTTGGCCTCATCCTCACTGAGTGGAATTCCAGCAGCAGCACCTGGTATAGAAAATCATAAAATAATCTCAAGTTACTTGTTGACTCTTAAATAAAGACATTCTTCTTAACATCTAGTCTATGCAGCATATTTTCTAGTGCCTGTACCAAATTACATAAAAATCTATTTAGCCAGATAATTAAGCACCAAAAATATAGTTTTCAGAGGCCAGAGAGAATCTCCTCTCAGGCCTCTGTTTTCAGAGACACTGAAACCTGACAGCATCGGCCTGGCTTACTGGTTTACTTTACTACTGACTCTCGCACTCTCTGTCCCGACATTACACACCATTTATTTCTTCCCCAGTCACATTGCTTTAACATCCAATGAACACGTGAGACTAAATATGTGTTGGACTGTCAGCAGAAATGGTGATCTAGATAACTTAAGCTGTGAAATTAAAGACATAGAAGGGGCCGGCCCGGTGGCGCAATGGATAGTGCGCCGCTTGGGAAGCATGGTGGCGCTCCCGCCCGAGGGTTCGGATCCCACATACAGACCGGTTCCCCCTCACTGGCTGGGCGAGGCGCGGGAGCAACACCGAGGGTTGCGATCCCGTTGCCGGTACCCGGTCCGGTACGGGGGCAACACTGAGGGTTGTGATCCGTTGCCGGACACGGAAAAAGACAAAAA